ATTTGATCAAATGAGTAATCCATACCCCCATGTCTACTCTTTATCTCTCTTCCTCAGTCCACTGCTATCTGTCTTTCTTCCTACCACCTCTCTAAAACTGCTCCGGCAAAAGTCTCCAAGGATATGATTGCCAATCAGGTGAACATATCTCAGCCTCCACCATACTCTGCCTCGCTGAAGTCTTTCACCTTATTGACCACTCCCTGTATATTGGAAGTCTCTCTTTATGGACTTTGATGACACCAGAGAAGCCTCCTCCTGCTTCCCTGATCATCTCTCCTCTTTCTTCTATGTTGGATCATTTTCCTCCACTTGCTCTATAAATATTGTTTATTCACCTAGGTTGAGCTTGTCGAGCAGCATCTGAACAGAGACTTCATCTGTCTTGTTAACCACTACAGCCTCCGTGCTTAGATAGCTCTGCACGCATGAAGATTCTTCTTATATATCTGCTCAATGAATGAGGGAATGTTGGAAATACTGGAGTGAACAGGGCACCACCTCTGCCCTTAAGCAGCTTGGAGTCCAGTGAGGAAGATGATTAAGTAAACATAAAATAACAGTAGAGTATGATACGAATTATGATACAACGAGCTATGGGAGAACATAAGATAGACACTGGACATGCTTAATTCCTCTAGCATCGAATTGTCCCACTTACCTCAGACTCAATTTGATCAATATCAAACCATCATCTTCCCTTAAGCCCCTCAAAATGTTATTCAGTTTATGTTCTCTATCTTGGGGATGGTACCACTACCACAGGGCTATCAAGCTAGAGTCCTAGGATTCACCCTTGATGCCTCCTTCTCTCTAATGCTCCACAGCTCAACAGTGGCCAAGTTAGGTTGGTTTTGCCTTTTCAGTATTTGGCAATTCCTTCTCCCCATCTCCATGGCCATCTCACCTTGGTTATTGCAACAATATTCTAATATTCTTTGCCTCTAGTCTTTCTTCTTTCTAGAACATGTTTTTTACACTTCCAAAAGTGAAGGGGATCACATCACTGTCCTGCTTAAAAATCTTCAGTGTTCCTTGATACATAACCCTCAGGTTACAATCCAAACTTCCAAGTGTATCTCCTAATGAGCTGACCCTTATCTCTCCCATCTCACATCCCACAGCTTCTGCCTCACATTTAGCATCACCCCACACCCTAAAGTCTGGTTCTACTGAACCACCTGCAAGTACTGAGAACATGAACAATGTTTCATCCCGAACCTTAATTCTACACAAGCCACTATGTAAAACTTCCTCTGAAGACAGTGCTGTAAGTCCTAAGCATTTTACATGAATTAACTCTTAATCCTCACAACAACTACTATTCTCTCAATTTTACAGATGAGGAAACTGAGACACAGAGCCAACATATAACTTGCTAGATTTCATATCACTAATATGTTGTGACAGCAACATATTAGTGACGGGAATTTGAACCCCAGTCTCATGGCAGTCTGTGGCTGTAAATACTGTGCTATCCTGCCTGAGTTCACCTATTTTCACTACCATGTTCATCCACCTGGTGAATCCTTATTTACCCTTCAATACCCACCTCAAGCAGCACTTTTCCAGGACACTTTCCTTGCACTCCCGGAGTTAACCTGTCATTTCTTTCCTGGCATTGTCATTGAATCTTTGTCACACCCTTGCTATTGGGTTTGTCACATTGTACTGTGTCCATTTCAGAATGAACCCAATGATACACAGAGATCAAATTGCACATAAGAATTACCTTGAGGCATGGAAGTTCCTACCTTTATTTCCTGAGCAGCCCTTTTAATCATCTGTATATCATTTTTGTCTCTTGCTGTCAGTTTACCAGCTCTCACTCATCCTCAGCTCCTTGCCGGCTCCAGCCCTTCAGTTCGATTCATTGTTTGCCTACTTTGTCAAATCTACCTTGCCTGCTACCTTTCCTGAACTCTCCCTCCTTTGACTGGTAACCTAGAAATGAATCCCTTTCAGCATGACCCTGGGGAGCAGCTGTCAGGCAGGCAGCCCTAACTGGGTGGGGCTGATCCCCCAACCTGGCTCTGGACAAGTCATACTTACTTGGTTTAGCATTTTTTCTTTTCTTTTCTTTTTCTTTTCTTTTCTTTTTTTTTTTTTTTTTGAAACAGAGTCTCTCTCTGTAGCCCAGGCTGGAGTTCAGTGGTGCTATCTCAGCTCACTGCAAGCTCTGCCTCCCGGGTTCATGCCATTCTCCTGCCTCGGCCTCCCGATTAGCTGGGACTACAGGCGCCCACCACCACGCCCGGCTAATTTTTTGTATTTTTTAGTAGAGACGGGTTTTCACCCTGTTAGCCAGGATGGTCTCAATCTCCTGACCTCGTGGTCCTCCCGCCTCAGCCTCCCAAAGTGCTGGGATTACAGGCGTGAGCCACCGCACCTGACCTAGCTTTTTTCTTTGGTTTCATTTAAGCTACTTCATGGGGCTGAAGAGTTATTGAAAGAACAAATGTCATAGAGAAAATAAGAAGAACTAACAACTAGGTTTAGGAAGAACAAAAACGCTAATGAAGTCAGACTGCAGGCTCTTCACTCCCAGTGGTTCACCGTTTTCACAACTCAGCGAACACCCAAGTAGCTTTTTCTTTAATTTACAGTTAGCAATTGGCTTACATTCCCCTCTGTGTATTTCTTCCAAATTTCATAGCTTCCACTTACTCATGATGTCTTCTCCATAATTTTTATTTGCCATGACTTCATGTTCTGTCTATGCAAATATTCAGCTTCGGCTCTTCTAAATGCCTAATTCTCTATGTGCTTCTAATTTCAGCTTCCCAAGAACAAGAAGCTTTTCGGCCCTAGTTCATCTTTCCGTGTTATGTCATGAAACATCTACTACTGGCCATCCTACAGATGGGCAGTGCTGGTGTCCAGAGCTAACCTCAACCCAATCCACTCTAACAGGGTCACAGTGTGTCAAATCATGCAAAACTTGGCCACCTGGGCTGCCCCTTGAGCAGAGGCTGTAAGTGAGGCATTTTCTCTTAAAAAGAACTGTAGTGGCTGGGCATGGTGGCTCTCACCTGTAATCCAAGCACTTTGGGAGGCCAAGGCGGGCAGATCACGAGGTCAGGAGTTCCAGACCAGCATGACCAACATGATAAAACCCGTCTCTACTAAAAATACACAAAAAATTAGCAGGGTGTGGTGGCACACACCTGTAATTCCAGCCACTCAGGAGGCTGAGGCAGCAGAATTGCTTGAACCCGGGAGGCAGAGGCTGCATTGAGCTGAGATCACACCATTGCACTCCAGCCACCCACCTGGGCAACAAGAGCGAAACAACATCTCAAAAAAGAAAAAAAAAGAAAAGAACTGTGGTGTGAAAGGCCCCATGATTGAGTGATGGAGTAATTTAGACAAATGATTCCTTAATATTTTGGGATCATAAATGTTTCTGAGAATCAGATGAAAGATATGGATTCTTCACCAGAAAAATTTCTCTTATGCAGAAAATTTACGTATAACTTTAAGGTATTAAGGAACCCCAGCAGCCACTCACGTAACACCCACCACCACCAAAGGTTTGAAGTCTATTACCTGGCACTTGAAAAAAATTGTGAGTCAAAAAGGCATTTAGACTCAGTGGCTCCAATGCTCTCAAGCAGGGAAAATGGTAGAGTGATAGTACCCTTAGCAAAGAAGAAGAGAAAAACAGGTTTGGGGAAAATTAGTTATTCTTGAACTGTTGAGTCTGAAGTGCAAGTGGGACTCTCAAGTGGATTCATAAACAAGTAACTGAAAATGTGGGTCTGGAGTAGCTGAGAACTGAGATGGAGATTTGTCTCATGTGCTCAGGGCACCTGTGAGAGCAGGTGCGGGGAAGCAGTTCACACAACGCCTACAGCCCGTTATCTTTCATTCGAATCTACTCTGCAGTTTTTGGAGACCTTTCTAAGCCCTCACTTTACTTGACAGTCCTAACAATCTTATGAAACAGGAAAGGCCTATCTCAAGACCTATTACACATAAGGAAATAGAAGCTCAAAGGAGTGACAAGTCTTGTCAAAAGTATTGCAATGAAGTAACAGACACAAGACTGGAACGCAGGGCTTTTGATTATTAATACAACTCCCAATTTAGTTGCAAACTGCACACAGATAAATGCCTTACTAGCACAGATCAATTTTTAAGTGCAGTAGTTTGGTTTTTGGATTTTGTCTTTGCGGCTGTCCTCAGTTTACAGAAAAGTTTGAGAGAGAGGGGTGGCAGTCGTCCCTTGACAATAATCCCATGGCAATTGATTTGGCAATACTCACCACTGTTTACTGTTAAATATCTTCTTAAATATCTTCCCTGTGGAGCAATAGACAGCCCCAACTCCTACAAACTTGTCTACAATTCTGACCCACACTCTGTCCTAATGCTCTTGCTTTTGTTTTTTGTTGTTTGTTGTTTGTTTGTTGAGACGGAGTCTCGCTCTGCCGCCCAGGCTGGAGTGCAGGGGCGCTCACTGCAAGCTCCAGCTCACTGCAAGCTCCGCCTCCCGGGTTCACGCCATTCTCTTGCCTCAGCCTCCCGAATAGCTGGGACTACAGGCGCCCGCCACCACGCCTGGCTAATTTTTTGTATTTTTAGTAGAGACGGGGTTTCAACGTGTTAGCCAGGATGGTCTCCATCTCCTGACCTCGTGATCCGCCCGCCTCGGCCTCCCAAAGTGCTGGGATTACAGGCCTGAGCCACCGCGCCCGGCCCACTATTGTTTTTAAAAGATACCTTTCTGCCTATCTAACCTAAATGCCCAGAATGAGCTCATGAAAGACCCACGGACATGGACAGACTTCCTGAAGACTACTGTGCAAAACTTGTAAATCTACAAAGTCAAAAATCTTCAAGATTCACAGGACGGGGTGGAGAGGGCCGGGGGGAAAGAGGAGGGAAAAGAGGGAAAGGAGGGAGAGTGAGACTGCTTAAATCTCTGGAGAGGACGGTGGGTTTGATTCTTAAAGCGCAGTTCTGTGGTTAGCGCAGGCCGCCGTCCCAGGCCCAGCCCGGGAGGCGGGGCGGGGCGGGCGCGGAGGCTGTCTGAGTAAGGCCTGGGCAAGGCTGGGCCGGGAAGGGCGTGGGTCGGGGAGAGGTTGCAGACCCGCACGCTGCGCGCACAGAGCTCTCAGCGCCGCTCCCAGCCACAGCCTCCCGCGCCTCGCTCAGCTCCAACATGGTAAGCCTCGCTTTTCTTCTTCTTCGTCTTCTTCGTACATGAAAAGAAAAAGAATTTTAAAAAACACACACATACTTCCCAGCCGACTTTATCTTTGACTTATGTGTGGACGTGGCAGGAAACAGCAGGAAAAATCAGCCTCGTGGGATGGAACTAAGGGAAGAAGGGATGGAAGGAAGAAGCCCTAAAATCATCCCTGTGGTGACAGCCTAGGGTAGCAGCGGAGGTTCTTTAGCCTTCCCAGTCACGACAAGGCCCGGGGCTGGGAAAGAGGAAGTGCTGGCAGCTCACCGCGCGGGGGCGGGGACCAGTCCTGGGTCCGTGCCTGCAGCCCCTCGCCCGTGCTCTCCCGGGAGCCCAGGGACGCCTAGGAGCAAGTTGAAGGCAAGGGGCTGGAAAGCTGCGAAGGGTCACTAGTTATTTCTGTAGACCAGAAAAGGGACATTTTAGAACTTGGTCGTCTAGTCCCAGGAAAAATCAAAGTTTCAGTAAGCAGCCGGCCGACGGCCAAGACCCAACGGGACTGAAACTTTAGCCCGTCGCCGCCGGCAGCACTGCGGCCAAGAATGTGGGAGGAACCCGGTCCCAGCTGAGCCCTCTCCTTCCTCTTCCTTTTACCCCACCATCTTTTTAGGGACTCACTCCGTAACTTATTTTTCTCTTCTTATCTCCTTTCATCTCCCGGTTGAACTCGTATTTTCCATAATTACACCTCCAAAATCTCTTTCTTTACCTCTCCTTAGTGAAGAGAGCCAGCAAACTTTGGCCTGCGGGCCAAGTCGGGTTTTCTGTTCTACCCACAAGCTAAGAATAAAATTTACGTTTGTAAATGGTTGAAAGAAATCAAAAGAAGAAAAATACTTTCTGACATGTGAAAATTATGTGGAAATCAAACTTCAGCGTCTATAAATGAAGTACTGGAACACAGCCACGCCCATTCCCTTCCATACTGTCTGGGGTTGCAGTCCTGCTACAGCAGGGACAGAAAGCTCCGGAGGGTGTTGGTTAAGAATGAGAAGACAATAGTTGAGGTTTTTAAAATTGCTACTTCCTTTTCATTGTATTTTTTTATTCTTTCCTCAAATGTTGAGCGCTTAGCATGCATTTTAAAAATTATTTCACAGTATCCGTTTATCATAATGTTTGCTCCTTGCTATCGCCATCCCCACCAAATAAGACTCCAAGAGTGCCATGAGGTGTGGCGAGCACCTGTTCTCTCCTTCAGCCACGGCTCCACCCTGGGCAGAGCTTTTCGGTCTCTGGGCGTCCTCAGGACCCATCTCCAAAGTGCCCTGGAGCTCTAAAGATTATGCCATTCCATTTTAGTAATTTGATAATTGTATTTCTTTCTTTCACTTTGGAGAATTACCTCTGGGAGGAAATGCAAAGAGGTTTTAATTTTCTTGTGGCTGATAGCAACAGCAACAGTTTTCAAAAGAAGGTAATCTCTAAATTACATCAAGACTGATGTTAAGGAGAGAAAAATGTGTAACAGAAAGGCACTGTGAAACTGGAAAAGCAAAACTGTCTGCATTCTGGAAGGAAAAGGGGCAGGGGGAGAATCTGTAGTTCCAGAGAAAGGTGACAAAGCCCACGCTCCTCAGCCTGGTGTGGCCTGCCAGCCAGCCTCCTTCCTGTCATCTGATACCTTAGTAAGACGGAGATTTTAGGCCTGATATAAAGGGCATGTTGTAACAGAACAAACACATCTGTTTCTAGGCTGTGGTATTTTGTTTCTCCCCTAAAGGCCCCTGAACCTACCAACACTTTTCTTTTTTCTTCAGGAAAAGTTCAATTTAGGGCAAAACAAAAATAGTCATCCTCCAACCATGTGATTCTTGGGTAAAAGTCCACCACTGTTAGGGTTCAGGGGTTCTAATGCTGTAAGATGCAATGGGAGGCAGGATCTCAGCTAGGATCTCTGTAGCATAAAGGCTGTACAGGAAGGAGGGATCAATCTGCAGCTGTGTAGCTAAGGGCTCAGATCAGTTCTTAGCTCGTGTGAATTACGGAGTGAGAAAGCCTGTAGCTCTGAGCTTCAGGAAGTCCATCCTAAGAACAAACGAAAGGCTAAATGCTAAATTGCAAATGTCACCATCCAAACATAAATCATTGTTAATGCTGGGAGGTGAAGTCTCAGAGGAAGGGTGTGGTCAGGCCGGTTTCCCAGGAAGTCTGTAATTGCGGCTTCTATCCACCAGAGGGAGCCCAACAGCTCCTCACTTTTGGGACCCCAAGTCCCTGCTGGAATAACCGGATGACTGGGCCCTGTAGAATTTCCCTGAAAAATTCTGCTGTGAGGAAAGATGAGCCCAGTACAAGATTTAAATATCTTACATTGTAGATGCTGTGTAAGCAACAACCTGAGAGCTTCCTGGTTTGGAGTGACCTCCAGAGAAGCTCCACCTTCTCTGTCACTATTTCTCACCAGGAAGTGGAAGCCTGCAAGGCTAAGGACTGCAGAACGGGACTGAGAGGCCCAGATTCCAGGGCTGGCTCTGTCATATCCATTCCCTTCTCCTGTCCGTTTTCTTACATCTAAGATTAATGATTCCTAACTCTTAAATATGAAAGCCATTTTCAAACATCTAAAAAGTTCTCTCTCCCACTGCATACACAATGATAGCTATGCTTTTAGTTTTCTCTAAGGAAATGTGTGAGTCCCAGGAATTTGGTATTGCTTTAAAAAGAACTGACATTTCATTAATCACAAAAGCCTCCATACACTCTTGGAAAGTTGGAAATTATTAACCTATAGACAGTGCTTGATGTGCATATGGATTTGTGGATATAGAGTTACACATGTATTTATCCACACATTCTAAAAGTATGAGTAAACCTTGTCACCCTCACTCTCATCTAGGCAGTCTACTGCTTTTAAACATGCCGACAATGCCCCACATTTACCCTCCATATATTTCACCTGGAATAAACATGTGGAGGGGGTAAGACGGAAGGTCACAGAGTGTGACTTTTTGTGGTTGTCTTGAACCCCTCAGCCCCCTGAAAAAAATGACTCACTCTTTTGGGAAACTGCTTTGACCTGAAATAAGATTCCGTGGAGTTTTCTGCAGTATCCAGCCCTTGACATCTTCCCTTGTCTGAGCCCTGCATTTTTTTTCTCCAAAGGCAAAAGTCTCCAGCCCTACAGAAACTGAGCGGTGCATCGAGTCCCTGATTGCTGTTTTCCAGAAGTATGCCGGAAAGGATGGTTATAACTACACTCTCTCCAAGACGGAGTTCCTAAGCTTCATGAATACAGAACTGGCTGCCTTCACAAAGGTACTGGTCCCTGTCTCCCCCACTTCCCCAAAATACCCACAACATGAAACGAGACCCTGACAGAATGGCCAGGAATGAAAGACCAGCAACTGACGCCCCACACTCTTGCTTCATTTTAACTCACTCTAAGCCAGGAGTTTTTCCATTTAGGAAGAGAGATATATGAAATGGTATATGACATAATGGAATTGTTTTCAAATTTTATTCTTACACCCCAAAGGTTCTAGGGCAGCCCTGTCCAATAGAACTTTCTGCAGTGGTGGAAATACATTCTATATCTGCTCTATCCAGTATGGTAGCCACCAGCCACATGTGCCCACTGAGCACTTGAAATGTGGCTAGTGTGACTAACAGACTGACTTTCTAAATTAGTTAATTTAAATGTAAATGTAAATAGCCATATGTAACCAGTGGCTCTAAGTGTGTATCTGCGTTGGCAGCTTGGGCAAGTGGAGGATGAGAGTGATTAGGCAGGGCCTGTGGCCTTTTTCCACCTGGACCCATTGCACTTTTATGCAGTTTATCTATGCAACACTTGAAAGAAGTGTTCCGCTGGCTTTACAAAACTGAATAGCTCCTAATGTCATAGAAAGAGCCCTGGACAAGGAGTGGGAAAACCTTTGGTCCAAGCCCCAGGTCTGCCCCTTAGGCAGGTCACTTTACCTCTTTTAGTCTGTTTCTGCATCTGGAAAATGGGAATATTAATAATCCCTATCCTGTACCTTATACTCCTGTGAGAATAAAATGTGGCAGCATATTTGAAAGCACCTTAGAAGATGCAATATAAAGGTATAATTATTATCATCTCTGCAGAACCAGAAGGACCCCGGCGTCCTTGACCGCATGATGAAGAGACTGGATACCAACAGTGATGGACAGCTAGATTTCTCAGAATTTCTGAATCTGATTGGTGGCCTAGCTATGGCTTGCCATGACTCCTTCCTCAAGGCTGTCCCTTCCCAGAAGCGGATCTGAGGACCCCCTGGGCCTGGCCTTCAAACGCATCCCCTTCCTTCCAGCCTTTCTGTCATCATCTCCATAGCCCACACATCCCCTGAGCCCAGCATACCAACCACCTCATGCAGGCCCCACCTGCCAATAGTAATAAAACAATGTCACTTTTTTAAAACATGAACTGGAGAGTTGGTGAATTTGTGCATGGGAGGGTGGAAAGTGGGAGGAATATAAATTAGATTGATAGAAGCTGCATAGTAAATAAGAAAAATGCATCTTGGGTGTATACATAATCATGACTAATAGTACAGCCAGATTCATTTCTAAATTGTTGACTGATGGAGAGATGTCACTTATTGTCATTGTTTACTCACTGCTACCCCTGTTGGCACTGTCAGATCCTGAGAATACAACCAGCAAGACAGACAAGGTCCTGCCTTCACTGAGTGTAACTTCTAGTTGCAGGAGGAGAGAACAATGACTAAATAAACAAAGGACTATCAGAGTATAATAAATCCTAGGAAGGGCAGATTACAATTATGTTACAGATTCATGGGGACAATGAGAGGGCACTATTCTGAGGACATGCCATTTGTGCTGAGATAAGAAGAACTAGAAAGAGCAAACATTTGAAAAGAAGGAGAAGGCATTTAAAGAGAAGGAATGGGAAGGGCAGAGGTCCTCCAAAGATGAGAAGGATCTGGGTTGTTTGTGGAATAGAAAGGAGGCTCGTGTTGCCAAGGTCTTCATGTTTGGCTTAAGCTAGTGTTAACACTAGTTTTAATTTTCTAAACCCTCTGATAAAGCAGCAGGGAAAGAGACCCCAGAAAGAAGGTAAGAAGACTGACCCAGGGTTAAAGATGACAGATTAGAGGAGAGAGAAAGGGGCAGGTTTGTGCAATGTGCAATTATTCCTAAGAAGCACAGGGAAGAACTGATGTGTTTCCCGAAAACTTCTGATTCCTTATCCATTTATATGAGTTTTAACTAATTGGCAAAAATTTCTCTAGATCATGGTTTATTCCTTCATAAATTCAGTGAAATGGATTAGACCACATCTGAGGTCATTTTTGGCTCTGACATTCCAAAATGAAGGCCAGCGCCTTAGGGTGAGCCACTGCCTCAGCCGTTTACAGTTGTCTCAGCTATACCTGCAGCAACTGCAATTATCTTCAGCACATTTGAATCATCAAGTCTTTGAAAAGAATTCAATTTGACTTTCATAAAGATAAAAACTATCTCTTCACACCCATATTTTACTGGTTTATGGGATAATTAATTAAATTATACCTTACAAGAAAAACGGACCGGGTGCGATGGCTCACGCCTGTAATCCCAGCTACTTGGGAGGCTGAGGCAGGAGAGTCACTTGAACCCAGGAGGCGGAGGTTGCAGTGAGCCAAGATCGCACCACTGCACTCCAGCCTGGGCATCACAATGAGACTGTCTCAAATAAATAAATAAATAAACAAACCATGTTGTATTTGAGATGTGTTCCTTGTGTGTGCCTGCTCCTTGTTTTTGCAGCATCCATCTCCCCTTCTTCCTGAATCAAGCCCTGCTCTGCACTCCCCATCTCTTGGTGTTCTTAGTTTGGGTAGGGTTCTTCCCCAGTTCTAAGAGTCAAGGACACACCTATGCCGAAACTAATGAGTGCCCTGCATTCCTTTGGACACAGCAATTGGCCGAGGGTGGTCTTGTGATCTAAGCTGGTCAAAATAAAAGGAATCTCAGTACCTTCGCTGAAAATTCTGGGATAAAGGCAATTGCTTATTCCTCCTTCTCGGTGGATTGTAATCTGAGAGTTTGTAGCCTTAGACATGCCAATAGCCATCTCAAGACAACAGGGAAGGGATCTAAGAGTGGAGCCAACATTGGAGAAACGGAGCCAAGAAATTTTAAAAAGATACCAACTCCTAGTGCTACGCTAAGACCCTTGACCCACAGAAACTGTGAGACAGTGAAATTGTGTTGAGTAATTAAGTTTGTTGTAATTTGTTACACAATAACAGATAGCTAACACACAGTTGTGATTCTTAAGCTGTGCTAAAGCTAAAGCTGTGCCTTGACTGTGCAGCTATATGAGTCAATATGTCCCTGCTTTTGCTTAAAATAATTTAAATTGAATTTTCTATCACTTGCAACAATAAAAATCCTAGCTATGGGATATTAGGTTAAACAGATGAACTGGGAATTTGAGAAAGAGAGAGCCGAGCTGGAGATATAGAATAGTATGTCATCTGCACATAGACCAAAGTCATGAGTTTGGAGGTTACCCAGGGAAAATGAGCAGAGAAGAACTTCCCAAAACATGGTCTCTAATCCACCTGCATCAAAATCGTTTGGGGGGAGGGTGTTTTAAAGGGCAAATTAGGAAGTAAAGGCAGTACAAAGTAGTCTACTCCTTTGAAAAGGTTGTGAAGTGATGAGAAGGAAGAAGGTAGGATGTAGGGGTGGGACGGTATCTTCATAAATTTCTTCCGGTTCCCATTATGTCAGTGTTCCCATTCTAAGAGCTATCTTTACTCTTAAATTCTTGCAATACAGCTTGTGGTGAGCGAATGCTAAGATAACCCCCAATAATCCCCCATTCTCATATTTACATTCTTGTGCAATCTCCTCCCCCTGAGTGTGAGCAGGACCTATGACACGCTTCTAACCATTAGAATACAGCAAAAGTGATGGTATGTCACTTCCACAATTTGGTTACATAGGACTGTCTTCCATCTTGCCAGCAGGGTCTCTATTCCCTTCTCAGCTTGTACGTTTTAATGAAGCAAGTCTGGAGAGGCTGACATGGCAAAGAACTGAGGATGCCCCTGAGCAACAGCCAATTACAAGCTAATGTTCCCAGGCTAACAGCCCTCGAGAAACTGAATCCTGCCAACAACTATGTGAGTTTGGGAGCGATTCTTTCCCAATTGAGCCTCAGGTGAGACCCCAAGCCCTGGGCAACACCTTGACTGCAGCTTTCTAAGATACCCTGGGCTGAGGCCGGGCGCGGTGGCTCACGCCTGTAATCCCAGCACTTTGGGAGGCCGAGGCGGGCGGATCACAAGGTCAGGAGATCGAGACCACGGTGAAACCCCGTCTCTACTAAAAATACAAAAAATTAGCCGGGCGCGGTTGTGGGCGCCTGTAGTCCCAGCTACTCGGGAGGCTGAGGCAGGAGAATGGCGTGAACCCGGGAGGCGGAGCTTGCAGTGAGCCGAGATCGTGCCACTGCACTCCAGCCTGAGTGACAGAGCGAGACTCCGTCTCAAAAAAAAAAAAAAAAAAAAAGATACCCTGGGCTGTAAGCCCAGTTAAGGCATGCCCAGACCCTTGACCCACAGAAACTGTGAGACAGCGAAATTGTGTTGAGTGATTAAGTTTGTAGTAATTTGTTACACAATAATAGATAGCTAACACACACTTGTAATTCTTAAAATACATTCCCGATGATCCCCTAATAATTCCTGTAATGAATGTTATATTGCTTTACATTTTAAATCATCTTAAATTTATACTCTTCCTTAAAGGATTATCTGCTCTCTGCAACCAAAAAAGTAAAACAAAAGACTCCTCAACACTTCCACACCCTCAATTTGCTGCCTTAAATATTTCCCTTTCGTCAAAATTACTGCGCTTTTGTATGTGTCTACACCAAAGGCTTCTATTTGCTTTATTACCACTCAGTCCTGAACCCCTTGAGTTCTAACACTTGCCCTCAGCATTCTACTGAAACGTTTCCCCTACTAGTCACTGGCCCAGCAGCCTTTGTTCATCCTTCCTGACCATTGCATCATGCAATGGATATTTGAATCTATGTAATGTTTCAGACACTGTGCCAGGGCAAAGCAAAAAGAGTATGAGCGTTAGGAAGCTGCTGCAGTATCCAGATCAGAGGTGGTGGTGGCCAGGAGAGTGGGTGGCTGGGGATGGATTCAAAGGATATTTGGGTGAAGCGTCACATGGGCTTGGGGATTTGTTTGGATGTGAGGCATGAGAGAAAAGAGTCTGATGTCCAAGGGCAGGAGGAAAGGAAGGAAGCATCTAGCATGGGAAAAAGATGAAAGCCACAAGACTCAGCAAGCCAGTTTCTTCGTCCCGCTTTGTTCTAGCCACGCTGGCAGCCGAATGGATGATGCCAACCCACATTGAAGGTGGGTCTTCCTCTCCCAGTCGACTGACTCAAATGTGAATGTCCTCTGGCAACACCCTCATGGTAACACCCGGAAGCAATACTTTACCAGCTATCTAGGCATCCTTCAATCCAATCAAGTTGACACCTAATATTAACCATCACACTACCTGGTCTCTCTAATATGGGCACATTCCCAGGCCCTCATCTCTCTCTTTCTCTCTCTCTCTCCCTCTGCTTCTCAAGCTAGATCTTCTCTCCAAACTCAAACTGTGAATGCCCACTGGGCATTACTAACAGGACCAACACGATGTGCCCTCACTGGGCTCATTATCTCCTCCCCAAACCAACCCTTCCTGCTGGTGTCTCTCTCTACTACTCACTTTGCTTATAGAAGGTACTCCATAGGGGGTTGTTGATCTGAATCTTGAATTAGAAGCTTAGTACCACTAGATCTTACTTACCAAAACTTGAGGGCCCAAGTAAAGGATTTCTGGTTAGTTCCCTTTAGCCTGGTGTCTTAAAGCCATGGCCAGTGATTTCTTTTTTTTTTTTTTTTCCCGAGATGGAGTCTTGCTCTGTCACCCAGCCTGGAGTGCAGTGGTGTGATTTTGGCTCACTGCAACCTCTGCCTCCCAGGTTCAAGCGATTCTCCTGCCTCAGCCTCCCGAGTAGCTGGGATTACAGGCATGTGCCACCATGCCCAACTAATTTTTGTATTCTCAGAGACAGGGTTTCACCATGTTGGCCAGGCTGGTCTCAAACTCTTGACCTCGTGATCCACCCCCCTCGGCCTCCCAGAGTGCTGGAATTACAGGCATGAGCCACCGTGCATGGCCCAATTTTTTGTTAAAGTAGCAAACAGACCAGTAGGGTGCCTGATATTTTTCCATCTCTTCCCTAGCTCGCTGTTTTTTGGGGATAGTGATACTTCTTTTTTTAATACAGGGTGCACCTGCTAAAGGAATAACATGGAGACTTAACGACTCCTGATTTTTTCCTTCTTGCGCTGCTAATGAATTAAGGAACACATCCAAACCGTAGCAATAATTGTACTA